CCGACTCGATGGCACTTAACAACAACAACAATAGGATACAGTTGGAGTGCTGGTGAGGTGCAGCAAATAATGTTCTGGATCGCAAGGTCAGTTTGAACTATAAAGTGGCGGGTCAAACTCATCAGCCACTCCTCAGAAACCCTCAGCAGGGTCACTCTGCATCTCAACGGAGGCGCTTAAAAACAACAACAAAGGATACAAAGGCTGCCAATGTTATTATCATTTAAAACCTCGGAACAATCTTGTAAGCAATTTTCGATCCTTGTTTTTCAGATGAGGAAAAATGGCAAAGCGGACATTCCATGAATTGTCCAATGCCACACACAGTTGGTAAAAGGCAGAAGTGAGACTTGAATCCACGCCTCCAGTTCCAAGGCCAGGAGGACTACTTCAGTCATTGTTGTTGTTAAGTGCCATCGATTCGATTCTGACCCATAGTGACTCTGTATAGGGTTTCCAAGGAGTAGCTGGTGAGCTTGAACTGCCGACCTTGCATTTCAAACGGCTTTACAGTCTGGAGCATGAACCCACAGCGTCACACCAGGACTTCAATCATAGTAAGGGAGAAATGCCCAGGGTTCTGAGAAAGGTTTTCGTTCTGGTCCAGACTCCACCCTTCCTTCTAACTGCTGAGAACCTGGGCATTCTGAAGCAGGAAGGAAGGCTGCAAAGATAAACGAGGTCCCTGCTCACACTACATGATGTAGGTGGGAAGGAGAGCAGAAGTAGGCTGTTAATACAAGATATCCTCTGCTGTGACTGTTGCCTCTTCTATTTTGATCTGAATCTCAGGGAGAGGAATTTGACTAATGGCCACCATGACCAAGTTCGCTGCGTGGGCTGAGGCGCTGGCCACGCAGATCCAAAATGACTCTTCATACTGTTCTTCCACCACCACAAACTGAAAGAGCTTCTCCTGAAAGTTGGCGATCCGGGTGGTCAGGTCGTGGAATTTCACTGAGGCCATGAAGCTGCTGATGGCCAATGCCACCACTCCTCCTGAAACCCAGAAATGGAACTTTCAGTCACAGAGGCTGTACATGAGGTGATCTTTGTCTGTCTTTAGAAAATGATTAACCAGTAATCAGTTGTCCCGAAGAAGGACATCGTATTTGGTAAAGCGGAGGGTCAGCGAAAAAGAGAAAGACCCCCTCCACGAGATGGGCTGGCACAGTGACAGCAGCAAAGGGCTCAAGTGTAGCAATGATTGTGAAGCTGACGCAGGACTGAGCAGTGTTCCATTCTGTTGTATGAGTCGGAACTGACTTGATGGCATGGCACGGTGGGATAATGCACTGGACTGCAAGGGCTGTTTGACCCACAAGGTCTGTGGTTCAAATTCACCAGCAGCTCCATGGAAACCCTATACAGGGTTGCTATGAGTTGGAACCAACTCCACAGCACTTAGCAACAACAAAAACAGCAACATTAGTTGTCAGCAAGCTGACCCCGACCCCTGACCTCCATCTGTGTCACAGTAGGACTGTGCTCCATAGGGTTCTCTTTTTTCTTTTAATTTAATTTTACTTGTTTTTCTCATTGTTGAGACTATACACAGAAGAGCCTCTGCTCTTCCAACAATGGCTCCATGTCTCATGCAGTGACATTGATGACAGGTTTGAGTTATGTAAGCATTCTCCCCTCTTTTTCCAAATTGTTCCTTCCCAGTGACATAAACTCACTGCCCCCTAAGCTTCCTAGCTTACCGTGATAGATCCCTGGTGATGCTGTGGGTTAGGGGTTGGGCTGTTAACTGTAAGGTTGGTGGTTCAAACCCACCAGTTGTTCTGGGGGAGAAAGATGAGGCTGGCTGCTCCCGTAAATATTTATCGTCTTAAAAACCCTACTAAAAGGTCACTATGAGTCAGAATGGACTCAGTGGCAGTGGATTTCACAAGAGCACAATGCTGACAATAGTGTTTTCAACAACTGACTTTTGGGGCAATAGATTGACAGGATTTTCTTTTGAGTGCCTCTGGGTAGATTCGACTTTTGGTTAGTAGCTAAGGGCATTAACCATTTGCACCACGCAGGGACTCCCCCAAATTATTGTTGTTAGGAACTGTCCAGTTGGTTCTGACTCACAGTGATGCCCATGCACAAGAGAACAAAACACTGCTTGGTTCTGCACCATTCTCACAATGGTATCTATGTTTGAGCCCATATCTTCCAATCCATCTTCTTGGGAGTCTTCCTCTTTTTCACTTACCCTCCACTTTACCAATCATGATGTCCTTCTCCAGGGACTGATTGTTAGGGTGACACAAGTTTTAATTGGCTTTAAAAGCAGTAGCTGACCTCATAGTGTAAGATTCAAGAGGCAGGGGTGTGTGGCAGAGAGTGAGCTTCTGCCAGATGGACTGTCAATTCATCCCCTCTAATCCTGACCTCTTACCCAGAACTCTCCTTCATAGGCGAATTAGAGCTGGGGCAGTTCAGTCTCTAAGTATCTCAGGATGTGAGAGGCACCCCTTAAGCAACCCTGGGAGACCCTGAGGACCAGGCAGGAAGATGTCAGAATACCTCACTGTGCAGGTTGGAATTTCAACAGAAGCTAGATGGTTGCTCTGGCCTC